CCTCAATCTACAGGTTGGCACTGGAGTCCTCCAGGATGGGAAAACATCCAGGTGAGAGCAAGGCCACCTGTGAGAACTGACCCCTGGAGAAGTGACCTCACAGAAGCCACCACGAGACCAAAGAGCACTGACTGAGTAGCTGGGTGATGTCTGCACAGGGATCCTGCAAGGGGAATGCAAAATCCCCCATTTATGAGCTGCTTCAGGCTGGAGATACTCAAGTGAGGGAAGGGAAATAGGGAGAGCTGTGCAGGCACCAGCCTCACTGTCCACTCCTCACTAGCAGGAATCTCCTTCCCTGTCAGAGTCATGGGATGAGGGCTCAATCACCCTGCTGGGCTGAGCTGGGAATTTTAGAGATTGCTTAAAAACATGGAATGAAAAGTGTTCATGTGCATGAAAAAGAGGAGAGAAACTCTGGAAGGCACTGCCCGTGGAAAAGATACATCCCAAGCCTTTGGAACCTGGCAAAGCCCCTTGAGGACAAAGTGGAATTTTCCCTACATAAACAACAATGGTTGTATGTGTTTAAAAAAAAGGAAGAAAAAAAAAAATTTGGGAAGCCAGCAGCCTGATGAGGAAGAAAAGGAGCCTTGTGCACAAGACATTGGGGAAGCTGTTCCAAACCAGTCCATCCTCAGGCAGAAATGTCCCTGCTGGCTCAGCAGAGGCTCCAGGGAGGACTGGCTGTGGCATGGGCAGTGTGGGGCTCACTCTTGGCTTCAGCAAGATGAGTGTTCTTGGCATCTCCCGGGGCTGGCACTCAGGATGGGGAAAACAAACAAACAGGTCTGTTCAAAGGCACGTAGGAGGAATGATATTTCTCTTGGAAGAGCTCCTCTTCTTACACAGGGCAAAAAAAAAAAGCACCCTGCAGGAGAACAAGAGCTCCCTGAGAATGGCAGGAAGCTAAATGGGAGAACTGCATCTGCTGGATTGTTCTTTGCCTTCTGTCAGGGGAAAAAAAAAAAAGTTAGACAAAGAAATGAAGTTTGACTAAAGATACAGCAGGCCAAAGACAGGCAGCTAGGCAGGAATGGATTTCTTTAGCCTAAGAATCATAGAATGATTTGGGTGTGAAAGGACCTTAAAGCTCATCCAGTTCCAACCCCCTGCGTGGGCAGGGACACCTTCCACTGTCCCAGGTTCAAACATCCAGATGAAGGAGAAGGGGAATTATGCTCACTGCACCTGACGTTTAACCTGCAGCTATTTCATGGAAATCACTTTGCTCCCTCTCTGCACTTCACTCAGGTGGTGAAGGAGGGAGATGGGCTCTGGAAACCCTCGTGTGGCAGAGCAATCCCACCCCAGGACAGTGAGGTGCACAGGGAGCAGCTCAGGAGCTGTTGCTCCATCACTGACCCCTTGGCCTCAGGGGGATGAGTCCAACCCTGGTTTTCCAGAAAGGAAGAATCCCACCTTTCCAGAGGGATTGCAGGTTTTATCCCTCTGTGTGTTGCCTTTGGCCCCTGGGATGGGGACAGGAGAGGGGGTGAGCCAGCCCTGACACACACTCAGGGTCTCCCTCCTTTTCCAAACGACTTCATTTTGGCTCAGCTTGCCCACCTCCCTCTGAGCTCTGGATTTCCCTCCACAGCCCAAGGAATGCATAGACAAACCTGTTTTCCCTTATGGCTCTGCTCACAGTGACCGACAATAAAGAACAGACAAGTTTTGGGTAAGCAGGCTTTAGAGGAATTGTATCAGCACTTCTGCATTTTAGGTCATGATGCAGAAAAGCATAGTAAACATTCTATATATGTGGGATTTTGGACAATTTTTCTAGCTATCTACACAGCAACTGGGAAAAATATCTTCCAATCCCCCCACATTTTGCATGTGCAGAGGTTCCATTACATTTGTCATACTTGCTACTCATATTTTGTTGAGTTCATCATTCACCTTGTTGTAAATGCCAAGAGAGGTAGAGGCAGAAGGAAGAAAAATGTCATGCTATGATGCTTCTTCCCCAAAGCACAAAATCACTTAATGACTCCTTAATTCATACCCAAAAACTTATCGCTTGAAAATCTCAATTTGCATGGAGCAAATTATGCTGTTACTGACCAGCATATCTTCTTTATTTTCAATAACTTTACTTATTGTGTGGTTGTAGAGTGCACATGACATGGCACACACTGGACATGAGACCCTGGCTGTCTTTCCCAAAGGCTGTGACTCCTAGGCTGACCTTTTTATTCTTCTGGCTTACAGGGACACCTTTGATTCCCTCTTTAGCCTTTTGAGCATTCACGTGTCTGGCATATGAACATTGCTGCAGTCACATGGTGCTGTGAACACAGGGAGTTCAACTTGTGCTCCACACAGAGGAAAAAAGAGAAACAGGAGACACAAGATAAACTCTCATGGCCAAGGTCTGGCAATTCTTTACCCTGTCAAAATTTGGGCCATCCTTAGAAAGGCCATCAAAAAAGCAGTGGAAGAGATGGGAACTAGAAACAGAAGGGCTGAACTCTGCATCCATCCCTTTGGTGCTTGGTGTATTGACAGCCAGCAGGGCCAGAAATTCAGGGCTGAGAATCCTCCAGGTTTGCAGATAATGCTGAGTAGTTCAGCAGCCAAATGCCAGAGTTCTGGTGAGGAACTCCAGGAGGACTCACAACACACAGAAAGGTGGCAGGTGAGCATCAGTGTAGGTTAATCTAAAGAAATCCACCCAAGGAAAAATAACCTAACCTGAGTGTATGTGATGCTAAACCTGGAAATGGTAGCTACCAGGAAATGGATCACTGAAAACTCTCTGAAATCATCAGCTCAGTGTGCAGGGACTGCCAAAAAAACCCCTAAAAGTACAGATAAAACAGCTTTGTTTTGCTGCTGAGCACAACACTGGGGTGCCCTCACCTCAGAGCCTGGGTGAGGTGCTGGTCTCCAGTGCTTGAGGACAAGTCAATAGAGGGAGGGGACTCCTGCCTTTTAGGCTGGACAAGGTAAGAAATCCCAAAGTTAGATGGAAAAGAAACAGGCAGGGTGTGCCTTCCAAGAGGCTGAGCACCATGAGGGGATGGGGCTTCACTTGGGGAACCAGCAGCAGAGAGTGGCCAGGTTTACTCAATCCTCCTGCCACTGGTGGAGATAAAGGATGAAATGCTGGGATAAGTGATCCATCATCTGCCCCATCCTCACTCCTCACCGTGGCAGCTCAGACCTAAGGTGAGGATGAGAATAAGGAGATGCTGACAGATGTTTCCCAGAAAAGTCCCCTGGACACTGAGCATTTGTAGCTCACAGATTTCCCAGTCCAGAGGTGGTGTTTTACTTGGGATGGAATTCTGCCTTTTTCATTTTTTTGTTGTGTTTGTTTTTAATTTAAAAAAAAACCAAACAAGAAAACCAACTTTGAAGTCAAACTCTGTTATTTGAGGTGATATGCCAGGCATGGGTAGGTGCCAATGGCAAGAGTTTATTTTGACTGCTGTCTCATGAGGAAAGCTGGCAGCTGGGGAGCACAGGGAGGCATGTCCTGAAGAAGGTGAAGAACTCAGCCAGACTGCTTTCAACAGCCTCTTTGATACTGGGTGGCTGAGAACACAGAGTGGAGCTTTCTGTGTGTGCTGTGACAAAACATCCTTTAATGGTTGTCTCCTGGGTCACCCTGGGCTACAGATTGAAGCCCTGGGTGGACCCAGTCCAGTGCAGGAGAGCAGGTTTTCATGGAATAGATCACACACAATCACTGGGGTTGGGAAAGATCTCCAAAATCATCGAGTCCAAGCTGCCACCCATCCCCGCCTTGTCACCAAACATATCCAGGGATCTCCCACCACCTCCCTGGGCAGCCCCTTCCAATGTTTTTGCTTCAACATTTTTTACTTCTGGAAAACACCCTGGTGTGGGTTGCATGGATCAGGATACTTCTACTACCATGAAATTCCATTTTTTTTTTCTGCTGGGGGAGGAAAATAAACAACTTTCCTTTAGCCTCTAATTTGGAGCCATTACTGATCACCCACGCAAGAAACAACATTTTCTGTCTAAATGAAGAAACAGTTCTCTGTTCAGGGGAAAAAAAAGCTGCAAACGAGACTTGTACAGGTTGAGAGGACAATTGATGCTCTGCAGCCATGGTGTGAAAAAGGGAAAAAAAAAAATCCCACATTCATCATGATAGCCCATATTTTAATTTCATGCAAAATAAATAATTCCCTCAGGATCAGGACCACAATGTAGCACCACCTCTAGCCCTGGCAAGGGGCTGGAAAGGGATGATCTTTAAGTCCCTTCCAACCCAGACCATTCTGTAATTCTTTTCCTTCACAGGGACAAGGAAAACTAAGGCTGAAGGACAAGGGAAAATAAATCTGCATTTATCTGAAAATAAAACAGCTTTGCAGGACACACCAGGGGCATGCTGCAAGACACATTCCAACCCTCTCAACTCCTCCCATTTAGAAAGGGACATTCCCCAAAAAACCCCAAGCCCATGATTTTTCACATGGTGACCACACCAAAAGCAGCAGCAGGACACAGTTTGGTAGAAAGATCAAAAAGCTTAGGGCCAGCATCATTTAGGATCTGTATTTTTTCCTTTTTAAATGTGTGGAAAGGTTTCTGTATTTCCTGCTTCTCTGGAAGGTGGAGGGATGAAGAGGAGGATGATGGAGACAGGAGGGTAGGAACAGTTCAAGCTAAAGTTATCTTCTCACCTCTATTTTTCCATATCTTCCCCCACCACTTTACACGCTCTTTCACACCACAGAAGTGCCAGTTTTCTCTCAGAGGCACAACACAAAGGTGTTAACTTGAATTTCTATCCAGAGAGAATGGTTGCATCCACCTAGCTCAGCTCCAGACCATCATCCTGTATTTTCTCCAATGAGCCCTAAAGCCTGGCTGGTTATTTTCTTTTTGGGTTACTTTTTTCATCCTGCAGCTGTTGAGGGTGGTGGTAGCAGGAGGGATGAGGAATAAACCAACAAACAAACAAGAAAGGAACTCCTCTGAAACTTTCCAGATCAAAAAGCACACACAAAATTTTCCTTTCAAGAGGTTTTAATGAAGAGTCGTATTTTTAAACCTCTCACACTGTACAACACATTTAACTGTACATCAAGCTCAGATAAAAAATAAAGCTTTCTTACAAAGTACGTTTTTCCAGTGATTTTTTTCCTTTTTTTTTTTTTTTTTTGCAGTAAAAATAGCTGCTACATAAAACTCTCCTGATCTCTGAAAAGGAGTCACAGTTTTTCCAAAAATAGAATTCGTATTTTGATCATACAGAATAAACTGCAGGAAGAGACAAGTGAACTGAAAAAATAAGGCTTGTATATAAATTTTTTTTAAAAGTACATGCATAGAAGTTGAAAAACATATGCCATTTATAAAGAAAAAAAAGGTAATTTTACCAATATTAATATTTTCATTTTTCAGTTACAGAAGAAACCACAAACAGGCCCTTTTATGTCCCAGAATACAACATTAGTTTCCTGTAAAAATGCCAAAATGCACAAAGAATTGCCAGCTTCAGTCTTGGCAAAATCCTGAGCCCAGCTTCCCTCCCTTCCCCCCCAAATGCATGCACACTGAGCATAGAACTTCTGCTGTCTCTCAGGCCAATTAAATATTTGCAGAAGGTTGTATATCCTAGACAAACATGAAGAAAAAACCCCCACATTTGATAAGTTTACATTCATCCTATTTCAAAACACACATACAATTAGTTTAATTTACACTATACAGTATCTGTTAAATAGGAACATCAGAGTTTCCAAAGGAATCACAGAATATATACAAACTGAATATTGAAATGGTATGATTTTCCTTCCCTCCTATTAAAGGGTGGGGTGTATTTTTTTGTTAACAGTTGCTGCTACATCTGGTTTTGGACACAAGAGTGTTTATGTACCTATGCAGCACATTTCTGGAGTAGTAACAGTAATAACAACAATAACAAAACGTGCTTTAAAACAAAAGTAATACCTGTTCTCCTTACTGCTCATTTAAAATAAATTAGTTTAAATAAAATGCATGAGGACGGTGGTGTTTGAAAACATCCCAGCCAAGAGTTCTGCTGGTTTCTCACAGCCAACCTTTGGTTTCAAAGCCAACCCCATCCTTCCAGGGCAGTGTTGAAGTTGGGCAGGGCAGGGCAGGCAGCTGAAATGCTGACCCCAGGAGCATCCCCCGTGTCTCCACGGCAGAGCCAGGGCTGTGCCCGCTCCCCCAGAGCCCCACTGGCCACACTGGCTCCCATCCAGCTCTCCATGGTCACAAAAAGGATGAAGGTCCCGCCTGGGGCAGCCTCTCCCCCGCTCCCCGCGCACGGCGGGGCGGCCGCGGCTCCCGGGCATTGTCCCCACTGGTGGGTGACTCCAGAGCAGTGTCCCAGGCCGGGATCAGTCCTCGGTGTCGGGCTGAACGCCCAGCATGGCGTGCAGCTCCTCGGGGCTGTAGCCCAGCAGGCTCTGCAGGTCGCACACGAAGCGGTACACGTAGCGCTTGCC